CCGCGCCTGTCGCAACTTTTAATTTGGAAAAAAATGGGAAAATCTGGAAAAAAATAGGAAAATTTAACCAAATTTGCTAAATATGGAGTGTCAAAATCAATTTGGGGAAATGTGAAAAAAATGTGGGAAATTTGATATGGGAAATTATGGGGATATGGGAAAATTTTAAAAAAAAAATCAAAAATTCGCTAAAAAATATCGGCAAAAAATCAGAAATCCGCTAAAAGCGTCGGCAAAAAATTGTTAGAAAATACGTTTTTCTGTATTTTTTGCTTAGGCCTAGACGAGGTAGTGTACATTGCAAGAACGTGAAAACAGATTTGCAATACTTTTTCCATGTCTCGGCAATTTTCCGCTGTTTTTATTATTCATATTTGGATCAACAATATCCACATTGCCCGGTGCACCACTGTCCACTTGTTCGCCAACATCCAAAACGCATTTTTCGCGTCCGCTGCGGATTATGCCTAGAAATTCAAGAAGCTGAGAATTCATGAAGATCCGTGATGATCCCTTATCCTTCGAACAGAGGATCGCGAGGCTTAAAAAGGGTTTTTTTCGCAAAAAAAACCCTTCTGAATGAAACAAAAAAAGCATTTTTCACAAAAAAACTGTCTGAATAGCACGAAAAAAAGCATTTTTCACAAAAAAAACCTTTCTGAATGACACAAAAAAGCATATTTCACAAAAAAAAAACCCCTTCTGAATGACACAAAAAAGCATTTTTTACAAAAAAAGCCGTTTGAGTAGCACAAAAAAAGCATTTTTCACAAAAAAACCCTTCTGAATAACACAAAAAAAGCATTTTTTACAAAAAAAAACCTCTTGAATTTTCCTCATCAGCATTATTCGTGTTATCGTCTTCGGGATCAACAGTGAACGTCAGATTGAGCGTGTCATTTTGCGGACTGTTTGGCGGCGAAAAGCGTGGTTGGACCTAAAATTTTGGACTAAGTTAATAGAGTAAGAATAAAACTGCGTGGTAGATTTATAGATACCAAGTGTTTTGGAAATTTTTGAAAAAACTTTGAAAAATGTAAACTATGAAAGTTTGTTTGGCGCTAAAAGGCCAGCCGATGAAAGGGACACAGTCGAATATTGTCAATCGTGGGAAAGCAGTGAGTGCTAATTCAGATACCCAGATAAGCGAGCCTGTATGTGCTTCAGCTGTTATCCGGTCTGTGTTTCATCCTTAAACTATAAACACAGACGGCAGAGCCGGCCGTAAAATCGATTCCTTTTGTCTGCCAAGTGCTTTTCGCATTAACTTCTATTCACGCGAAAATCTATCGCGAAAAAATTTGGCAGCTAATCAAAGTAGCAGAAAAATCGCGAGTAAAATTTGCAAAAAAAATCGAGCATGTTACCTGGGCTGGTATGACTTTAACTGGGCTGATATTTTCTTTATCGTATTGATCCGGATCACCCCAGACTTTCAACAGTTCCGCGATCAAAACCGCTTTCTGGAAAAAAAAAAAATCCAAAATTTGAAGCAAATATGTATC